TGAAGGCTCTGGCTCCTGTTCTACTTTTAGAGACTATAGGAACCACAAGTAGCCCAGCATTCAGAGAACGTAGTGTTCTAGTGGGGTAATAGGGTACTATGAGCTCTTTAAGATATGAAGGGGCCTGACCATGAAGACCTTTATAGGTGAGGAGGAGGATTTTAAATTCTATTCTACATTTTACAGGGAGCCAGTGCAGAGAAGCTAGTACAGGAGAGATGTGATCTCTTTTTCTAGTTCCTGTCAGTACTCGTGCTGCAGCGTTCTGAATTAATTGGAGAGTTTTAATGGACTTATTGGGGCAACCTGATAATAAAGAGTTGCAGTAATACAGCCTAGAAGTAACAAATGCATGGATTAGTTTTTCTGCACCTGTCTGTGATAGGATGTGTCTAATTTTTGTAATATTACGTAAATGAAAGAAGGCAGTCCTAGAGGTCTGCTTTATGTGGGAGTTAAATGACAAATCCTGATCAAAGATGACTCCAAGATTCCTGACAGTGGTGCTAGAGGCCAAGGTAATGCCATCTAGAGTAACTATATCTTTAGACAGTGAGTCTCTGAGGTTTTTGGGGCCAAGTACAAGAAATTTGTGTGTGTGAGTTTAACATCAGAAAATTGCAGCTCATCCAGGATTTTATGTCCTTAAGACATGTTTGTAATTTAGATAATTGATTAATTTCATTGGGCTTGATTGATAGATATAACTGTGTATCATCTGCATAACAGTGAAAGTTAATGGAGTGATTCCTAATAATGTTGCCTAAAGGGAGCATATATAAAGTAAATAGTATTGGTCCAAGTACAGAACCTTGTGGAACTCCATGACTAACTGTAGTATTTATTGAAGATTCATCGTTAACATGTACAAACTGAGAACGATCTGATAAGTATGACTTAAACCAGGTTAGTGCGGTTCCTTTAATGCCAATTTGATGCTCAAGTCTCTGTAAAAGAATATCATGGTCAATGGTGTCAAATGCCACAAGTCCATTGTCAGAAGCAATCAGAAGGTCATTATTAACTTTAACCAGAGCTGTCTCTGTGCTATGATGAACTCTAAATCCTGACTGAAAATCCTCAAATAAACTATTGTTATGTAAAAAGTCACACAACTCTTTGGCGACTACTTTCTCCAGAATCTTAGAGAGGAAGGGGAGGTTAGAAATCGGTCTATAGTTGGCTAAAACCCCTGGGTCAAGAGTGGGCTTTTTAAGAAGGGGTTTAATTACAGCTACTTTAAAGGACTGTGGTACATATCCTGATAATAAAGAAAGATTAATCATATCCAGTAAAGAAGTGCCAATTAAGGGTACGACTTCTTTAAGCAGCCTAGTTGGGATCGGGTCTAACAGACAGGTTGATGGCTTCGATGTAGAAATTATTGAAATTAACTGATGAAGATCGATAGCAGAAAAACAGTCTAAATCTATATCTGAGTTTCCATTAGTTAAAGTTCCTGAACTTGGAGAGCCACTGATAGCTGTTGATGGCAGTTAGTGATTAATTTTCTCTCTAATAGTAATAATTTTATTATAGAAGAAGCTCATGAAGTCATTGCTACTTAAGTTTATGGGGATATGTGGCTCAATAGAGCTGTGACTCTCAGTCAGCCTGGCTACAGTGCTGAAGAGGAACCTAGGGTTATTCTTATTTTCTTCTATTAATGCTGAGTAATAGGCTCCTCTGGCATTACGGAGGGCCTTTCTATAAGTTTTAAGATTATCTTTCCAAATTGAGCGATATTCTGATAATTTGGAAGAGCGCCATTTCCTTTCAGATTTCATAGCTATTGCTTTAACTGGCGGGTTTGGTGGTTATACCACGGTGCAATTCTCCTATGTTTTAATAGTTTCCTTTTTATAGGAGCGATAGAGTCTAATGTTCTTCGTAGTGAGCCTGCAGCACTATCAACAAGATTATCAATTTCAGAGGGACTAAAGTTGTTATAGGACTCTGTTAAATTCAGACATGGCATTGAATTAAACACTGAAGGAATCTCCTCCTTAAATTTAGCTACAGCACTGTCAGATAGACATCTGCTGTAGGAAGTTTTGCCTAATGGCTTATAATCTAATAGTATGAATTCAAAAGTTATTAAATAATGGTCAGATAGGAAAGGATTATGTGGGAAGACTATTAAATGTTCAATATCAATGCCATATGATAGAACAAGGTCAAGAGTGTGATTAAAACAATGAGTTGGTTTATTTACACTCTGACAGAAGCCAATTGAGTCTATTAATGAGATAAATGCATTACTAAGGCTGTCATTGTTAACATCCACATGAATATTAAAATCACCTACAATAATTACTTTATCTGATTTAAGGACTAAACTTGATAAAAACTCTGAGAATTCAGATATAAAATCAGAGTACGGTCCAGGAGCGCGGTACACTATAACAAATAGAACTGGCTGCAGTGTTTTCCAGTTTGGGTGAGAAAGACTAAGAACAAGGCTTTCAAATGAATTATAATTTAGTTTAGGTTTAGGGTCCATTAAAACACTCGAATCATATATGGCTGCTACTCCACCTCCTCGGCCAGTGCCTCGAGGAATGTGAGTATTAATATGACTGGGGGGGGGTGGATTCATTTAGGCTAACATACTCCTCGTGGGACACCCAGGTCTCAGTAAGACAAAGTAAATCAATATCATAATCTGATATTAATTCATTCACTAAAACAGAGACCTGATATTTAACAGTCCACATTTCATTCTCATATTTATGCTACTGAGGAGTTGGTTTTAATTTTTATTAGATTTTTATGTTTAACTCTTGTTTTTATTTCTTTAAATAATTTAGGTGGTCGGGGGACAGACACAGTCTCTATGGGGTTTTGGGTGGGTGACTGTTCTAAAGAAAGCGCAGAGAAGTGTGTAAGACAGCAGCTCTGCTTCCTGGTCCTAACTCTGGACTGTCAGGTTTTAGAAATAAACTTCGCCATATTTCTAGATAAGAGAGCCGCTCCATCCAAAGTGGGATGGATGCCGTCTCTCCTAATCAGACCAGGCTTTCCCCAAAAAGGCTTCCAGTTATCAATGAAGCCCACATCGTGTATTACTATTACTATAACTGTAATCCTATAGTAATAGTAATCCTAGTAATACTATAGTAATACCATAGTAATCCTATTAGTAATCCTATTACTAATAGGATTACTATTACGGCTGTATTACTATTACTATTACGTACTATACTATAGTAGTAGTAATACTGTGTCCTGTCTCAGCTCAGCGTGTATCGGGGGCAGATGCAGGCCGCCTCGGGGTTCCTCCATCAGGCCGTCTTTCTGGCTCATCAGACCCACAACAACCAGGCCATCGTCTACACCTACAGTCTGGTAAACACCTTGACCTTTGACCTCTGCAGCTGCCTACAGCTGCATGACCTCTGACCTCTTCCTGTGTGTCTCCTCAGATGGCGAATCTGGCCTACATTCAGGGTCAGCTGGACAGCGTGAGTACTGTCACTCCTATGTGTGTTACTATGGCAACAGATGGCACGGAAGCCTTCGTCATCATCATCATCATGGTTGTTTCTCCTCTTTATCGCCTCAGGCAGAAAAACTCTTCAAAGCTGCAATGAGCTTTATGCTGTCAGGAGGAACACCACAGGTAGAGTGTATGTGTTTATCCTTTACACCAAACTGCACCTGGAAATCAACTGATTTAACACCTACTCATCCTTTAGTAGTAGTAGTAGTAGTAGTAGTAGTAGTTAGTAGTGTGTGTCAGCTGTTTCTGACTTCCTGTTTCCAGGATGACAACGCTGTCATCGAGATGTCTCTGAAACTCGCCACCATCTACGCTGAACAGAACAAGTAAGAATAAGATTTACCTGTTCTGTCTGACCTTTGACCTCAGCTTCCTGTCGGTTGACTGACAGTGTGTGTGTGTGTGTGTGTGTGTGTGTGTGTGTGTGTGTGTGCGTGTGTGTGTGCGTTTGAGGGCGGAGCTTGCAGAGCACGGTTTCAGGTTCTGTACGGAGTCTCTGGAGGCCAAACTGGAGAAACAGAAGGAGGTTCCTGCAGAGGAGCAGACAGGTGAGACTTCAGGAGGAGCTGTAGTTTAAGCACCAATCAGAAGAGTTGTTACTGAGCGGAATGGTGTGCAGGTGCTGACTGTTGTTGTCTTCAGAGGAGCAGGAAGCTCTGAGGAAGGAGACCCGCCTCCTCCTCGGTCTGTGTTTGGACTCGCGGGCTCGATACCGAGCGTCAACACTGCACCTGAACCAGGCCGGACAGGACTACCAGAACGCCCTGAACATCTGCCGCCAGGAGCAGGGAGACACACACCCACAGGTAGGACACTGGGAAGATTGGGAACACTGAGAACACCGAGAATACTGGGAATACTGGGAATACTGGGAGGATTGGGAACACTGGGATTTGTAAAATGATGTTTGATGATGTCGTCGTCTCTGTCAGACTCTGGTGCTGATGAGCGACCTGGCCACCATCTTGGATCTGCAGGGGCGCCATGACGACGCCCTGGCGCTGGTCCAGCAGGCCGTGGATCTGAGCCGCTCCGCCGGACACCCGGACCAACACGTGCTGCTAGGAAACATGGCCGGCATCCTGCTGCACAAAGGTCAGGGGTCAGGAGAGGTCAGAGGTTAAAGGTCAGGAGAGTTTAAAGGTCATGGAATCCTCTGTGTCTGATCTGGTTTCTCATCCGGTGTGATGTGCCCCTTCAGGCTGGCTAGAGGACTCGGTCCGGTTCTACCAGGAGGCTCTGAGTCTGGCTCGGCAGGCCGGAGACCAGGAGACTGTGGACAAGATCCGTGAGGGACTGGAGGAGGTGAAGAAGAGGAGGAAGGAGGAGAAGAAGAAGGAGGAGAAGAAGGAGGAGTGACGGACTGATCCAGGACCCTGCTGACCCCTGAGACCTCCTCCTGTATGCTCCTCCAGAGGACTCTGTCAGACCTGATGTTCTTTATTGTTGTGTGTCAATAATGTGTGTGATAAATCATTAAATACTTTCAATCAATCAATCAGTGTCCTTTAATGCAGACAGGAAGTATTGATCGTGTTTGTCCGGTGTTGGCTCCACAGCAGTGTTTCTGATCACAACACTGATAATCGGCTCCCTAATCAATATAAACCAATGAACTGATAGATCATTAAATATGGGACTACAGTGATACAGGATCTGTGTCAGCCTAATGGTTACAGTTAATATATCAGTAATTATATTAAACAATATGCTGATGATACTGTGGTTTATCTCTACAATGTGTATTTAAGCATTCACACAACCATGAAACAATTAGCATCATTAGCATTAATAATCAGCTATATGGACAATATCTCAGCAGCTGATTCGCTGATTGATACAAAAAAGGAGGTTTTGGGTTTATTGAAGATGTTGAATCCATTTCTGACATCTTTTAAATACAAAATGGACTTTAAAACCAGAAGTGTTCATATTTCAACTCCCAGTGTGCTGATTGTGATTTATTGTGAGGTTATTTATATGATCAATACATTGGTGTGTGACTGCTGGAGACCCAGACTGTACATTATACTTTATACTTTATACATTATACATTATACTTTATACTTTATAATTTATACTTTATACATTATACTTTATACATTATACTTTATACTTTATACATTATATTATACTTTATACTTTATATTTTATTCATTATACATTATACTTTATACTTTATACTTTATACATTATACATTATACTTTATACTTTATTCATTATACTTTATACTTTATAATTTATACATCATACTTTATACTTTATTCTTTATACTTTATAATTTATACTTTATATTTATACATTATACTTTATACATCATACTTTATACTTTATACTTTATTCATTATACTTTATACTTTATACATTATACTTTATACTTTATACATTATATTATACTTTATACTTTATACTTTATACATTATACATTATACTTTATACTTTATTCATTATACTTTATACTTTATAATTTATACATCATACTTTATACATTATTCTTTATACTTTATAATTTATACTTTATATTTATACATTATACTTTATACATCATACTTTATACTTTATACTTTATTCATTATACTTTATACTTTATACATTATACATTATACATTATACTTTATACTTTGTACTATACGGTACTATGTAGTAGTGTGTGTGTGTGTGTGTGTGTGTGTGTGTGTGTGTGGTTCCCACAGAGCGTGACGCAGGTGAACTTCCTGTTTGTTTACTGAACATGTCAGAATAAAAGCACAAGTGATGACAGTAAACAAACAGCAGACACCACAAACAGGAAATAAACAAACAGAGGATTAACAACAGAGAGAGAGCCTGGGAACCAGGAGGAGGAGGAGGAGGAGGAGGAGGAAGAGAAGGAGGAAGAGGGGGAGAGAGAGGATGAGGAGGAAAAGTAGGAGTATGAAGAGGGGGAGAGACAGGAGGAGGAAGAGAAGGAAGAGGAGGAAGATGGGGAGGAGGAGGAGGAGGAGAAGGAGAGAGGAAGAGAGAGAGGAGGGGGAGGAGAGGGGGAGGAGTGTCAGTGTGTTGATGTATTGGTCATCAGATCAGATAATCTGTTGTCTTTATTGATCAATATTCTGTTTCCTCCTCATCCTTCCATCAGACACACATCAGCTGAGTGAGCTGACGTTTTCTCACGCTGTCAAATCAAGAAGGTCGTGACCCGCCGACCCTCAGGTTGGGACCACTGTACTATATAGTCCTCTAGTAGGAATTATTAGGGAAGTACTTATTAAATGGTAAATGGACCTGTACTTGTATAGCGCCTTTCTAATCTTCCGACCACTCAAAGCGCTTAACAATATATATAATATAATACTTATAACTATATAACAATGAATCAATGATTCTCATTTCTTAATGAACTCATCAGCTACTCTATCAAATGTTCACTCCTCCGGCTGCATGTTGAAGTGCCCTTGAGCAAGAAACTGAACCTCCAACTGCTCTGTGTGAATGAGCGAATGTGACTGTACAGTCCATCCATTACACACACACACACACACACACACACACACACACACACATACACACACACACTCACACACACACACACACACACACACACACACACATATACATTGTTATATATGTTCCCACACACATGTAGTGAGACAGATAATTACAGGTAAACACACACATTAAGGTGAAGGTATGATAATTGTTGTTGTGCTAACAGGTTCACACACACACACACACACACACACACATACACACACACACACACACAGACACACACACACACACACACACACACACACACACACACACACAACAGATGATATGGTATAAAAGCAGCTGCAGTGAGTTTCTGTGTTTCTGTTGGACGACGACTCAACACACTGAACAGGTATCACACACACACACACACACACACACGCACACACACACCTGAGCTGTATCGCACTGATCATTTTCCAATCAGTTTGATTGATTGACTGCAGTATCTGTACTTATTATGTATTCTGTGTATTTTATGTAC